TAATTTGGTTTCTGGGAAGACTTCATTCAGGTCCTCAATGGTCATCTGATCAAATGGAATTATATTCTTCATCTTCTCCAGCTGGAAAGAGGGCAATTGGGTGAAGGTAAAGAGAGCCACAGAGATACAAAAACGAATCCAAGGTAGGTTACTGCCACTGGGTGAAAGGAATGTGGCCGTGAGAGAGAGAGGACCTATTACAAACAACAGCCAAGGGTCACTTACCTCTTTTTCATATTCCACAATCCTGGCCTTTGAGAGAGACAAAAACTCAGCACAACTTTTCACCTTAAAGAGAAGGGAGACATTCTGTTTTGAAACCAAGTTGTACTGTCCTGACTCTGAGGCTCCCAAGACAGAAAAGTCCCAGAGCCCACCCCTCTTGCCTTCCCATTCTGTGCAGACTCCTGCGTGTGCCGACTCCTGAGGGGAGCATGCTTTGGGAAGCAAACTACAGCTTTTCCTAAATGCACAAAGAAGCCCATACAGGAGAGCCAGCTTATAATAGCAGGACCAGGGTTGTCAACAATTTGCTCACCTAGACAACCTACAAAATGCCAGTATTTCACAGGGGCTGCTTACTGTACAGTCAGGACAAGCCGTCTGATCACTAGCCAGACTTCTCTTTGGTGGAGCCACCGGTGTTCCCACATTTGGCTTTCATACTTTCAAGCAAATAGGTATTTGACTACTACCTTGGATAATTTCTCTACCTGATTCTAACTCCGTAATTGTTTTTAACAGCTTAGTTGAGGTATGACTGACATACAATAAAATGCACATACTTAAAGAATGCCACTTGGTAACTTGTGACCTATGTATCCACCTATGAAACCAGCAACACAATCGAGACAAGGAACAAATGTATCAGCCCCCTCCCTCCCATTCCCAGGCAACTACTGAAGCACTATTGCCATAGATTACTTGCATTTTCTAGAGCTCACTCTACTTCACCTAACTTCTAAGAAATACGGAGCCATCAGGAATTAGGAGAATCTTAAAATCAGAGTCTCAACTACTTACATCTTCTCTTTCTTCAGCATCCACCTGGACAGTATATTTATCCTCTGGCACAGGAACCTTCAGGGCATTAAACTACAAACACAGGGACAGTTGTTACTAATATACCCGGGAGTCCAAGAAAGGGCTCAAAACCACCGATCCTTATAGATAAAAACATTCCCCATTCCAAGAGGAAACCAGTATGCATCTAGAGTGTTGTAGTAGAAAGATTAGCCTGAAAACAGGAGCTCAAGGTTCTCAGTCCTGTCGCTAACTGGACAATTCTTTATTACAATGAGCTTCAGTGTCATCATCTGAAAAGGATGGTTGGATTTGATGACCTCAAAAATGGCCTCCTAGAACCTTGTAGTCTGAAGAAACTCTGATTTCTCTTTCTGGACTGACTGGCAGAAGAACGTTTGCATAATGGAGATGGAGATGGTCTCCTTAGAAGACTGCCGAGTCCTATAGCCCCAGCACGGAGCACTGCACCTGGCACAGGGTAGGCCTTTGGAAAGCATCTGTCAAATGGGTAAACAACTAAATTCCAGATACTGAGGTTTAACATGTAAACATCAGAAATGGAGATACGTAGGTGAGAAGCCACAAGACACAGTAAAAAGGAGCAGGAAAAGGGAAAAAAAGGTAGAAAAGGTGTTAGGGAGACAGGTGAGGGGCTAAAAAATAATTCCGGAAGAGTTGGGATGGAAACATTTAACTTCACAGCCCTCTGGCTCCCTGATTAAGGCTGTATGGGCTGTTTCTTTGGATAAGAAATCTGCCAAATAAATAGACCCTGAATTCTCCACGTTTACCATATAAAACTACCACCTCAAGACCTTTGGCCACACCCATTTTTCCTGAGGTTCCTTTTGGACTTGTTTTATTTTTTACCCCAACATTAAAATTATATTTCCTTAATATGGGACCTGTTAACAGCACCCTTCTTTCCACACTGTCATCCTGCACAGGTAATTACCTACTGTTCTGCTCCATACCCACAAGCCACATTACAAGACCAGTGCTTTAGCTGCCTGAAGTCTCACCTTCTTCTCAAAGTCATCTACCAAGCCAGCCTTCGCCACATTGGCCCTGTAGTAAGCCCAGTCGATAGCAGGTGGATTCTCGGGGAGAGTTGCCAACCTGCTCACATGGAAGAAAAAAAGTTAAGATTCTTCTATGAGCAACAGAAAATCCACACAGTACTTTCCCTGTTCCTTATTCCTATGGCCTAGAGTTTTATCACACTTTTCTCTAGGAGAGAGATTCCAGGAATGCCAAAAACTACTTTCATTTGCAAAATGTATGAATTTCTTTATACCAGAAGAGCATCAGAAATTCATATTTAATTCCAAAGCACTGTTTTGCTTCCACATTTGGAGCAAGTTAAGAGGGTCCCTCTCAGAATGGTACTGACCTGGAGGTGAGAGTCTCATTCCAGGATTTCAGGGAGTTAGCAATGGCCTTCTGGTTTCGGGGTATGATCTCCCCAAAAGCTACCCAGTCAATGGCTTTTAGAGCAAGTTTTCGCCCAGCCATCTTGAGATCCTGGAAAATAAAACAGGTCAGATCAAAACAGGACTCTTAGAGGGGCGCCTGGGTGGCTCAGTCGGTTAAGCGTCCGACTTCGGCTCAGGTCACCATCTCGCAGTCCGTGAGTTCGAGCCCCGCGTCGGGCTCTGGGCTGATGGCTCAGAGCCTGGAGCCTGCTTCCGATTCTGTGTCTCCCTCTCTCTCTGCCCTTCCCCCATTCATGCTCTGTCTCTCTCTGTCTCGAAAATAAATAAACGTTAAAAAAAAAAAAACAAAACAGGACTCTTAGAGCAAATCCTCCAAAGGGCACCTTAGAAACATGCAAATCTGTAAGAAATAGAGAAGCATCCTCTGAGCACTTGGTGAGTATGTTTATCAACTGAAGGAATCAGGATTACTAAACAAGGAACAAGTTTAGCTTTGCAAATTCAAGGCATGCAACCTGCCATATAACCACATTATTTCCCCTGAAACTGTCCCCCTCTATTCCCCAATTCCTACTCCTCCTTAAAAGCCCAGTTCTTTAGCGTTTGCTCTTATCTTCGGAAATATTGCTAAAGTAACACTCATGCATTACATAAAAGTTAATCATTTAAATACATTTCCACTCAGAATGAATGTGTTTTATTCACTGATTCTCCAGTGCACAGAACCTGATACATACCCAAGTTTCAACAAAGCTTAAATACAGCAGACCCTATGCCGGAAAAAATGGGGATAATACCAGCCCTGCTTATCTCAGAAAGCTGTTAAAAGTACCAAGTGAGGGGCGCCTGGGTGGCTCAGTCGGTTAAGCGTGCTACTTCAGCTCAGATCACGATCTCACAGCTCATGGGTTTGAGCCCTGCTTCTGGCTCTGTGCTGACAGCTCAGAACCTGGAGCCTGCTTCTGATTCTGTGTCTCTCTCGTTCTCTCTCTGCCCCTCCCCAACTTGCACTCTGTCTTCTCTTAAAAATAAATAAACATTTAAAAAAATTAAGAGGCACCTGGGTGGCTCAGTCGATTGAGGTTCCAACTTTCGGTCAGGTCATGATCTCACCGTTTGTGGAGTTTGAGCCCCGTGTTGGGTTCTCTGCTGACAGCTCAGAGCCTGGAGCCTGCTTTGGATTCTGTGTCTCATTCTCTCTCTGCCCCTCCCCCACTTGTGCTCTGTCTCTCTGTCTCTCAAAAATAAATGGGAAAAAAATTTTTTTAACTTAAAAAAAAAGTACCAAGTGAAATTTGCACACCAATTTGCCCTACAGTCTCCTACAAGCTTAAGGGGCTCTCTACCCCTTCCCTACCGGATTGGTAATACCTGCACTTTCTAATTCAGGTCTGATTATCCTCTGCAGCACTAGCACATGCCCTGTGGATTCTAGCAATAACCTTAACACAGGTATTCCATATGTGTGAACGTGAGAGAAGGTACAAAGTTACAGCCATTTTTTTTTCCTTAACTAAGAAAATGGGAAAATAGTCAAACTAAATTTAAGATCAGTGCCAGACATTAGGAGAAAGACAACGTCAAAAGTCTTTACAAACTACGGGGTGGATCACAAGGAAGGTGGAAGAAATCCTCCTCGGGATCTTAAAAAGAAACTGTTCCAACACCTGCCTCTTGGTTTCTCTTTCCCTCTCAGGATAAGCGGAGGTGATGGGCAGGTGACTCTTAAAAGACGCCAGAGAAATAAGCGCCTTGACAGAGACTTTTCCAAGCACCAGTGCAGGTAGGCTTCATAAATGATGGGATCTTTCTCTTGCTCTGAACGCTCCACACGCTCGAATGCCAGGACCCTCAAGAGGAAGAAACTGAGTGTCCCTCAACAAGTTAACACGATCTCGGGGTAACATTTCCCCAGCCCCCAGACCGAACTGCCGAAGTCGGCCTTGGTGGGGGCGGACCGAACCCGATCAGGTGTGGAGAAGCACCTCGGTCAGAGGTGGCAAGTCGACACCAGCGACCTCGCGCGAGGGGGAGGGGAGCGGAAGGGAGCGCGGCGCAGAGCGGCGGCTGCAGTTACACCCGGACACTTTGGCAGCGGAACAACGGCAGGGCAGGCATCCTCGGCAGGGGTGCGACAAGGGTCGGCGCAAGGTCTGAAGGAGGCAAGGCACGGCAGCCCGCCAGAGTCGGGCCCAACGCCCCAAACCCCACTCACCTTCACCTACCGCGGCGGCCCACAGTCCACAGCAACAAGGAACGGAAATGGGTCACCGGAAAGTTTCCCAGAGCCAATCCCAACGCCAAAGGGGAGGGCCTTGCTTCGCAGGTCAGCCCGTAGAAATGGAGGCTGGTTCCGGAAGTCCCGCCCACGAGGGCGGGCGCGGCACCTCCCCCTGCACGGGTCCCCGGGAGCTGGTTGGGGGCGCTCCCGTCCCTCTCCCCCGGCCCCACCCCCGCCGATGGGCCGGCCCGGCTCTCCCTGCCGAGAGATGGGCCGGCCCGGCGGCGCGCGGGCAGCGGTGGCGGCGGCGGCCCAAGATGGCGGAGCTGCAGCTGGACCCGGCGATGGCGGGGCTGGGAGGGGGTGGCGGGAGCGGGCTGGGCGACGGGGGTGGCCCGGGCCGCGGGCCCCCCAGCCCTCGCCCCGCCGGCCCCACGCCCCGCGGGCACGGCCGCCCGCCCGCCGCCGCTGCGCCGCCACTGGAGCCGGGTCCCGGACCGCCAGAGCGGGCAGGGGGAGGCGGTGCGGCCCGCTGGGTCCGGCTGAACGTGGGCGGCACCTACTTCGTGACCACCAGACAGACCCTAGGCCGGGAGCCCAAGTCTTTCCTCTGTCGCCTCTGCTGCCAGGAGGACCCGGAGCTGGACTCGGACAAGGTGCGCCCCGCCCTCGGGCGCGCCCCCGCTCTTCGGACCCCCTCGTTCCTCCTAGCTCGTCCCCAGATTCCTGCGACACGCTCCTCCCAGGCGGGCTTTTCGGGCCGGGACCCCCTTCCCATCCCTCTCCCGCCAGGCTGGCCCTGGGGGCTATTCTCCCCCATCCTCAGTCGCACCCTGGCTGTCTCTCTGACCCCGCCCTTCACTCTAAGCAACTCGGTCCCCATGCTGTGCCCACCCGCACCCACGAGAACCCGCTCCACACCCCTTCTCCGTACACATCTCATACCCGCCCCTCAGATCTGCATGAGTTTTCCCCTGGCTCCTCGTCAGCCCCTCACTGCCTGTGCCAGATGCGTCCAGAACTGGGTCAGGGTGAGCTAAGGCATCTTTCTAGCTTTCTCAGACTTCCTCTCGGACCCCTCTGCCAAGTTGGGTGAAAGCCTCGGTCTGACAGCTGCAGGAAGTGTTTCTGGTGATACCACACTTCTTTCCTGTGGTCCTGGGCCCTGAGCTCTTATCTGGTGACAGCCACTGTTTTAGGACTATTAGAGCTCAGATAACATTCCTTGGAAAGAGATTACCAGTTGCCAGTGCAAACCTAAGCTGACTGGTTAAGACCATCGGAAAGTGAAAACTGAGGCCTGCTATTGGGCAAGATGCATGGCTACGAACAAAGTTGAGAGGTGACGAGGCACTTCCAACCCGTTTCCAGTTTGACGTGTTTATTGATTAACTTTACACATTCATCTTTCAGTTGCCAGCTTAAAGGCATTGACCCTGGCTTATACCCCTGTATATCCTATGTAGCACTCAGCCAGTTACATTGAAATAGAGTTGGGGTTGGGTAAAGATTCGCTGATTTTTTTTTTTTTTTAACTCACCAACTGCCTCTCTAATAAATCTCAGACTTATGGAAACCTGTCCCACCCGAACTTTAAAGAAATTTCAAAACCTTTGCTTATAAAGGAATTATTTTTATCTACCCTAAATCTTTCTTGTTGCAGTAGAAGCCAGTTTCTTCTTGTTCCTTTTACTGTAAAGATGAGTAGGATTAAAGCTGCTCAGAGCCAAGTCCAGGCGGTGCCAAGCTTCCTCTGGGCACAGAACTGGGGTGTGTTGAGTTACAGCTGGCAATGCAGACTCCCACTGATGTTGGCCTTGAGCTCAGGAGCATTGCCAACTATACAGAGGTTTTCTTAGAATTAGGAATGTGATTTGGGGGCAGTAGAGAGAGGTCAGAATGTCCATGTCAAGCAAAGATTTACATAATTAAAATATGGCATTTTCTTCCCCTTTCTTGATAATAGATGTCTTACAGAAGAATGGTGGTAATTGTGTCCAAGTAAAGATTTTGGAAGTTCAGGGGCACCTGGGTGGCTCAGTCACTGAAGCGCCTGATTCTTGGTTTCAGCTCAGGTCATGATCTTACAATTTGTGGGTTCAAACCCCACATCAGGCTCTACACTGACAGCTGTGGAGCCTGCTTGGGATTCTCTGTCTTCCTCTCTCTCTCTGCCCCTCCTCCTCTCACTGTCTTTGTCTCAAAATAAACAAACATTAAAAAAAACAAGACTTTGGAAGTTCAAGTAAATGCCTGCATGATGACTGTACATCTGTCTGTAACTCCGTGCCTGAAATGATCTCAGAGTACAAGATACATAAAGCTAGGCTCCTTGCCAGTAGTTTGTGATAAAAAATGTCTAGCAAGACTTGCCCCCTTGCTAATGAATGGTGACAGAGAGGCTGAAACCCTGCCCCAACTTAGTCCGACAGCTCCAAAGTGTTATCTTTGTGTTTGGTTGGCAGGACGAGACAGGAGCCTATCTGATTGACAGGGACCCCACCTACTTCGGTCCTATCCTCAACTACCTCCGCCACGGGAAACTCATCATTACAAAGGAGTTGGCTGAAGAAGGTAAGAACAGTGTTTTAACTGGGCATTTTCAGAACTCAGCCCATATCTTGAAAGCCGGTTCACAGATTGGAATTTTGTTTGAGATTTTCATCAAGGTCACATGCAGGCGTAGTAAACATTTATGAAAGTGAACAGGGAGTCTCTAGTTACGTAGTCTTATCTGAGGAAATCTTCTTTAAGGGATCCCCACTGGGCTCTGTCCAGCCTTCCTTAATGAGAAGAAAAATAGGTAACTCAGCTTTGCAAATCACTTCAGGAGCATTTTTCAAACCTGCAGAATCGTCAGGATCCCTTTTTACTTTCACTTATGTGCTTGCTGGCAGTGAAATGTCCATACCCTGAAGCATCACATCTCTGACATTAATTATTTATATTTTCACTTTTAGTTTGAACTTGCAGCTGTAAAAAGTAATAAAGGCTTGGCCTCATTTCTTGTAAGACTGGTCTCATGCTTCCTTGTAAATTTTTGCAGCTGACCTAATTCATTCTCCAGTCCATTGTCAGCTGTATCATCTTTTTGGTTGGTACGACATTTGGACTCTAAGTGGGTCTAGATATCTTTCTAAAAGACTTGACGTGGCCTCGCCAAAGGCATTCCGTTGAAGATTGGGGCCTCTCCCTAAATCCAGGGCACCCTGACCTGGAGGCTTTAGCTCTGAGTGAGAAAGCTGTAATGGCTGTGCTAGTTAATGAAATGGCTGCGAAGCACATCTGTTTCAACCAGTAAGAAGAGGACTTGTGCATGTGCTGTCTCTTTTTTCAACATTTCAGATGCATTCAAAAATCATGGGAACCGTACAAAAACTTCATGCACCCACCATCTAGCTTCAGCAGTTACCACCTCATGGATAGTCCTGTTTCTGGAAAAGAGGAATCTTAAGCATCTTTTCTGAAGGCTTTTAAAAAATTTTTTTTGAAATATTTTCAAATTCAGAGAAAAAGACGAGAATAACAGAACTCTCAGCTTCACCACCATTTTTTGAGATCTGTGTTACCCTTTGTTCTCTCTCTGTCCCCCCCCACCACGCTTCTCCCTCCCCCCACCATAGTTTTTATTTCTGAACTATTTGAGACTAGATTACAGATGAGTCCTTAATACTTCAGTGTATTTCCCAAGAACAAGGTTATTCCCTTATATAAGCACAGTATGGTTATCAAGATCAGGGAATTTAATATTGATAAATACTTCTGTCTACAGCTTATATTCCAATTTTATCAGTTCCAGCAATGTCCTTTATAGCAAGTTTGTTTGTTTGTTTGTTTTTTCTGATACTGAATCACACATCCCCTTTGTTGTCCTGTCCAAGGCCTTTGATTTTATTTGGCAAAGCATTCTCTCAGTGATTGCTTTTTATCTTGTTCAAATAATAAGCACCCTATTAAACTTTGGTCCACATAAATTTATATACACACACCCATCCCCAGTAATTTTTAGGACCGACTAGGTAAGCTTTGCAAGCTCAGGAATTCTCCAATGTGACAAGTTCCAGAAACTAAGTGACATATGGGAAAGGTGCCCTGCAGCTAAAGGGCAGGTGCAGAGAGAGTCGGAGAAGGTGCCAAGTGGGAAGCCGCAGCGGTGAAACAGAGTGAACAGAGCAGACCCAGAATTTGACTCACTCGATTTAGGGAGAAAGGAGGGGGGTACACCCTAAATAGCAAAGAAATGTTTCTCAGGCTGAAGGAGAGAGACTACACTTCAATTTAAAAAGTGCGGTTCAGGGGCGCCTGGGTGGCGCAGTCGGTTAAGCGTCCGACTTCAGCCAGGTCACGATCTCGCGGTCTGTGGGTTCGAGCCCCGCATCGGGCTCTGGGCTGATGGCTCAGAGCCTGGAGCCTGTTTCCGATTCTGTGTCTCCCTCTATCTCTGCCCCTCCCCTGTTCATGCTGTGTCTCTCTCTGTCCCAAAAATAAATAAATGTTGAAAAAATTAAATAAAAATAAAAAGTGCGGTTCAGGGGCACCTGGGTGGCTCAGTCAGGTGAGCGTCAGACTCTTGATTTTCTTGATTTTGGTTCAGGTCATGATCTCAAGACTGTGAGATTAAGCCCTGTGTCGGGCTCTGAGCTGAGTGTGGAGCCTGCTTCAGATTCTCTCTCACTCTCCCTCTGCCCCTCTCCCCCATTTGCACTCTCTCTCTCTCTCTCTCTCAAATTAAAAAAAGGGGGGCACCGGGTGGCTCAGTCAGTTGAGTGTCCTACTCTTGACCTTGGATCCAGTCATGATCTCACGGTTCAAGCCCCGCATAAGGCTCTTCACTGACAGTGCAGAGCCTGCTGGGATTCTTTCTCTCCTTTCTCTGCCCCTCCCCTGCTCACTTGCCCTTTCTCTCTCAAATAAATAAACTTAAAAAAATTCTAAAAACAAGTTTCAAGGGGCGCCAGGGTGGCTCAGTCGGTTAGACATCTTTTTTTTTTAACGTTTATTTATTTTTGAGAGAGAGAGCTCATGCGTGGGTAAGGGGCAGAGAGAGAAGGAGACACAGAATCTGAAGCAGGCTCCAGGCTCTGACCTATGAGCACAGGAACCCGATGCAGGGCTCAAACTCATGAACCGTGAGATCATGACCTGAGCTGAAGTCAGACACTCTATCCACTGAGCCACCCCGGACACCCCTGACTTTGATTTTGGCTTAGGTCATGATCTCTTGTGTGTGAGTTCTGGCCTCCCTGTATCTGCCTCCACTCTGGTAGTGCAGAGCCTGCCTGGAATTTTCTCTCCTCCTTCTCTCTCTGCCCTTTGCACGTGCTTGCTCTCTCAAAATAAATAAACTTTGAAAAAATGCTCGGGGCACCTGGGTGGCTCAGTTGGTTGAGCGTCCGACTTCAGCTCAGGTCATGATCTCACAGCTCATCAGTTCAAGCCTCGCATTGGGCTCTGTGCTGACAGCTTAGAGCCTGGAGCCTGCTTCGGATTCTGTGTCTCCTTCTCTCGCTGCCCCTAACCCACTCGCATTCTGTCTCTCTTTCAAAAATAAATAGACATTAAAAAAAAAAATGCTCTCCCTCTCTTCCTGTCCCTCCCTTGCACATGCTCTGTCTCATGGTCTTGCTCTCTCTTTCTCTCTCTCTCTCTCTCTCTCAAAAAAAATGCAGTTCTTAGCAAGCATGTAAACTTTAGCCTCTTCTCACTATTTTCCAGGGAGTGTAACACATCTTTAACTACATACGATTTGGTCCTTGTCCTAGGTGTTCTGGAAGAAGCGGAGTTTTACAACATTGCATCTCTTGTGCGGCTGGTTAAGGAACGGATACGGGACAATGAGAACAGAACTTCTCAGGTAATGGGTTTTGAACTCTTTTTGTTTTGGTTTGGTTTTTATTTTTTGTTTTGGTTTAAGATTTTATTTTTAAGTAATCTTTACACCCAACGTGGGTCTTGAACTCACAACCTTGAGATCAGGAGTCACACGCTCCATGCATGCTCCATCGGCTGAAGCAGCCAGGCACCCCACGGTTTTGAACTCTTAAAGGGAAAAGGTCTTAGTGGCTCTCTTTGTCCCTGCGTCTGGGTGGGATTTGAAAAGGATGCCGTGCTGCTTGGCAAGAGCTGCCTCTCCCCTTAAAGCTGGAGGTCTGTGTGGAACATGGGCCATCCACCAAGCAGACAGCGCATACACCACCAGACTTATTCAGAACAAGGAAACAGAAGAAGAAATAGCAAAGCAAAACAGCCCCCATATCCCTTTAGAAGAGTGGGGAGGTTGTGGCTGCTTATCATGGGACAGCAGGAGGGACCCGCAGCACTTTAGGCCCAGAACCTGTTCTCACAGAGTATCTGTCTCCCTCCACATAAAGACCCAGTGAGCTCTTACTTCCACCTGTTGGCCACTCTTTAAGTCTTTATTAGGACCAGCCTTTTAAAGTGTGACCGTGTCGCATTCAGCAACTGATAGCCATGTGAAAGCAGTCTCATGGCCTAGACTTTAGGAGCTGCTTGTGAATCATGCTTCTGAGGAAATAGGCTTCTCTGTTTATTATGAAGTCTGGGTTTTTATATGAACTTGGTAGATACAGTAACAGGAAGAAACACACAATTTGCCACCTAGTTTTGAGGGGGTACAGGTAACTTATTTCACATCGCATCACCCGTCACATGTCGTAAGTGGCCACAGCAGCATCTTTTAGGCCCTTGAGATTCTCTGCTTCCTAGGGAGGGTCTGTGCCCTCCAGAAGCTTGAAGTCTAGCAGGGAAAACAGACGCTCCCTTTCCTGTATTTAGGTTCTATTTTAAGAAAGTACCACTGCAGGAACAGAGGGCATGGTTGGACTCTGCTGTGACCATCTGTCTTGTAGCAGGACTTGCTCTTATCCCATCAGATGCTGGTGGTAGATGCTTTCCTGAGATCCATTCTGTTGCAGTGTAGAATTTTCCTGTGATTAAGCAGAAGGTAATATGTTTCTTTTCAAAACTCAAAAAAATAAAAAATAGTTCCTTGCTCTTTCTGTGTTAGAGTTTACATATCCAAGTTTTCTGGCTCGGAATGGAATTATCTGGTTGAATAACTGACACCTATTTTTTTTTTTTCAAAAATGATTTCTCTCATTCGCTTAATCTGTAGTCATTTGCAAAGGTGAGAAGAGCTTCCTTAGTTTTCTTCCCGCTGGCTGATGGCTGAAAGCCTTCTTTTTATTATTATTACTTTTCTTAATGTTTATTTTTGAGAGAGAGAGCACAAGCAGGGGAGAGGCAGAGAGAGAGAGGGGGATAGAGGATCTGAAGCGGGCTCCTGATGGCAGAGAGCCAATGCGGGGATCGAACCTGCGAACCACGAGATCATGACCTGAGCAGAAGTCAGACGCTTAACCGACTGAGCCACCCAGCACCCCGGAAAGACTTCTAATGTTCAAAAATGAATTTATAGTTGGTTTGCCATTTTATTGTATAAAAT